TTTCTTTCTTTTTTTAATTTATAAAAGTTTATTAATTTATAAAAGTTTCCATTTCCGCCCCTCCTCCCAACACCCTCCCACTCCCCCCACTCCCTCTCCTCCTCCCTCTCCATCCCTAAGAGCAGTCAGGGTTTCCTGCCCTTTGGGAAGTTCAAGTTCCTCCCCCCTCCCTCCAGGTCCAGGAAGGTGAGTGTCCAGACAGACTGGATCCCCAAAATCCAGTATATGAGGAAACAAGCCCCAGTGCCATTGTCAATGGCTTTTCAGAAAGACCCCAGGCCAGCCACATTCAGAGAATCCGGCCACAATCAGAGAATCTGGTTGGATCACGAGCTCGTTCAGTCCCAGTCCAACTGGCCTTGGTGAACTCTCATTAGATTAGTCCCCTTGTATCAGAGGGTGAACGCACTCCTCACGGTCCTGCCTTTCTTGTTCATGTTCTCCCTCCTTCTGCTCCTCATTTAGACCTTGGGGGCTCAGTCCAGTGCTCCAATGTGGGTCTCTGTCTGTATCGCCATCCATCAACAAATGAAGATTCCCTCTGGTCTTGCCTTCTTTGCTCATGTTCTCTTTCCTTTTGCTTCCCGTTTGGACCTAGGGAGCTAAGTCCAGTATTCCAATGTGGGTCTCCGCCTCCATCTCCGTCCATCGCCAGATGAGGGTTCTATGGTGATAAGCAAAATATTCATCAGTATGGTTATGGGCCAAGGCTGGTTCAGGCACCCTCTCTGTCCAGAGAACAATCTGGGGATCTCTCCTTGGACCTGGGATCCCCTTTATAATCAAGTCTCTTGTAAACCCTAAAATGACTCCCTTATTTGAGATATATACTCTCCTGCTCCCATATTCATCCTTTCCGCTTACCTTCTTAAGAGCTGAAGTGGAACTACACTTCTGTCTTCCTTCTCACAGCTTGGGCCCCCTCCGTGCTATCTAGATGTTTCCGATCTCTGATGAGGCACGAGCACCGGCTGATGGGATTTTAGAGGCATCCCAGGGGATGTGTGTGTTCCCGGTCTCCCCTGAGACCTCTGAGGGGCAGGAGTCGCTGGTTTCAGGATGCAGCCAAGGAGACGGCTGGCTGGGTGTACCAGAGTCGGCAATGGCAAGAGCCAAGATGGGAGAGGAGATCGTGTGATGGGCCGTGGTGGTGCTGTGCAGTCAGGGCAGCAGGGAACGAGGTGTGATGGAGCTTAGAAAAGAGGAAAGAGAAAAAGCCTTGTCAGGGAACACTGCCTGGCGACTCTGCCTTGAGATCCCACCAGCCTTGCCCTGCACTCTGAAGACATACTGCGGTGTGTAGTCCATTGGCTCCCCTCCTGCCCCAGCAACTCACTGGCGTTTTTGACCATGGCTGTGAAAAATCAGGTCCACAGACTGATTTCCTGCGAAGCTAATGACACTTCGCCTGCCCAGGGCCCTTCCGAGACCCGGGGAAGACGGGAAGGACTCTGGTTAAGGGATTTCATGGTCATTAGTTTTCCTTAAAATGTGAAAAACTCAGGCATTTCTGTAATGTTCCGTAAAAAGAACACCCCACAAAACCCAAATCTACTCATGACTGTGCCATCCAGAATGAGTGGGGTCTTAGGGCCAGTTCCAGAGATGCTGGCTAGATCATCAGAGCCATGAATGACAGCAGTCCTTTGGGGAAGGAGGGAGTGAGCAGGCTGGGGCTTGGGAAAGCAAGGAAGGAAGCTCAGATGGTCCGAACTCCTGAGAGCAGTTCTGCAGCCTGGAGTCGGTGCTGTCCCAGTCTGATGATGTGAACCTGACTTGTGACTGTTTTCCAGGACCAGGCAGCTAAATGTCACTTGTGACAGCTCAGTGGACAGGGAGGTCTTCCTCCATTACTCCCTCATCCCATCAGTAAGTACAGGTGTGGGAGCATAGGGGAGGGGCACGGAGCCAGAGGCAGTGAGAGGGAGGGGAGTCTGGGATGCTCCACCACAGGGCTTTTGGGCAGGCCGGCATTACTCAGGGGAGAGAGCAGATGGTTTTCCTTCCAGTGTGCACCCAAACCCCCAAAAGAAAGCATTTAGGGTCCAAGAATCAGGGATGTGGGACTTTTGGCAGCATGCAAAGGGGGTTTTCTTTCGTCTTTTTTTTGTGTGTGTATGTGTGTACAGGTATGTTGTGAACATGTATATGCATGCATGTGGAGGCCAGGGTTGTCCAGGGTGCTGTTCCTCAGATGCAGCTCACCTTTGGTTTTTGTTTTTCATTTTTAAAATTTATTCATGTATGCATGTTTTGTCTCCATGTATGTCTGTGCACTACATGCATGCTGCCTAGTATCCTTGGGTGCCCTTGAGCTGAGGTTATGGATAGTTGTGAGCTACCAAGTGGGTACTGGGAATGAACCTAGGTTTTCTGGAAACAGGCAGTGCTCTTAACCGTGCCCTTGACTGTGTCCTCTCTCTAGCCCTCACCTTGTTTTTTTGAGACGGAGTCTCTCACTGAGACCTGAGGCTTGGTGATTAAAGCAATTGGCTAGACAACCAGCATACAGGGATTTGTTTGTCTCTACCTCCCTGATGCTGGGATTGCAGATGTATGCCACCACATCTGTTTGCTTGTTTGTTTTAGTGTGGATGCTGGGGATTGAACTCAGGTCCTCATGCTTGGGCAGCGAGGGCTTTTCTAAGCTATTTTCTCAATCCCAGGAAGGACTTTTCTAAGGAAGTAAAGATAGAGCTAAGGTCATCTTGGAAGATGTAGTGAAGAGCATTCCAAACACAGGGGAAAGCACGTGCAAAGGCCCTGTGGAGGGTGGAGGGTGGAGGGTGGAGGAAGGAGGAAAGAGGAAGGAGGAAGGCAGAGTGGAGAAAATGAAAACTAACATGGGTGGGAGAACTGAGGGGTGGGAGAGTCAGGAAAGAGCCCTGTGGGAGGAGGGTTAAGCCAAGAGGGTCAAGCCAGACTGGGCTACCAAGAGAGTTCAAGACACTTCCAAACAATCCAATGAGACATAAGACCCCACCTTAAAAACAAAAAGTAAAAGAGGGCTAGGTACGTAGCTCAGTGGTAAGACACTTGTCCAGCATGTGCAGGACCCTAGAGTCAATCCCCAGTATGGGGAGGAAGTGGGAGGTAAGACTTCCTGGTTTGGGGTGGATGAAGGAACAGGGCAATAAGAACATGGTGAGTTTCCCTAAATCATGCTGAAATGCCAGCTAGGTAGCCTGAGAGAACTGGAGCTTCCGGGTCGGCAGGGCGGGGGCTGGACACACACACTTGTGACTCTTCTGTGTCATGAAAAGTTTTCACTAGGTAGGAGAGCAGGGATCAGGGCTCATACAAAGTCGGGGAAAGAATGAGCTAAACAGGAGCTCGGAGAAGAAATGGGGAGAGTGAGAATGCACAGTGGACAATCCCAGGGACGATGGCCTAATGAGCAAGGTGCAGTCGGCCTGGGGTACTGCTGGCAGTTCACCATGGAGTCAGGCATTGCCTGGAGCAGTAAAATGGCTGCTGGTGACTTCAGTCACAGCTTTTTCAATGCAATGACAGGGTCTGAGCTGCCAATAGAGATAAGAAAACAGAGAGAACACATGCAGACAGTTATCAAGAGGTTCCTGATCAAAGCAGGACAAAGGACGCGCGTCTGGTGCCTGAGAACATGACCACATCCACAGAAACGAACGGGAGAAAGATCTGAAACTTGACAGGCATGACTGCCTCTCTACAGCAGAGACAGAGGTATAGGGAGGGTGAGCTTCCCTCCCAGCATGTGTGGGAGACATTGGACTTGACCTTCTATCTGTGAAGGGCCACACAGAGGAATGATCAGTCCAGAACCTTCTGGTAGCTCTAAAGTATATGGAGTTCAAGGTGTCATAGCTGATTTAAGCTCTCTGCTTGTCCTCGTGTGTGCGTGTGTGTGTGTGTGTGTGTGTGTGTGTGTGTGTGTGTGGTTTTTTTTCCTGTGAGGCCACCGAGGCCACCCTGAGGGCTACTGGGTCCCCTGACACACTGTCCTCTCCTTCCAGCTTTTCATTATTTTGGTCTTGTCCTTTCTCCAACGACGCAAGCACTGTAGACAAGGAAATGACACCTTCTACCTCCTGGGGGACCGCTTTGGAATCATCGTGTGAGTGGATTCAGTGTCATCCCCTGCGGGGTACCCTGTGGTTGGGGCCAACACAAAGAACAAGGCCTCATAGCTCCAAGGATCCAGTCTTCTTCCCCGTACCCATCTTGCATCTTGTTCTTCCACTCTGTGCTAGGGTTTCTGTTGCTGGGATGAAACTCTATGACCAGAAGCAGGCTGGGGAGGAAAGGGTTTATTTGACTTCCACTTCCACATCATAGTCCATCACTGAAGGGAGTCAGGACAGCGACTCAAACCAGCAGGAACCTCGAGTCAGGAGCTGATGCAGAGGCCACGGAGGGTGCTGTTTACTGGCTTGCTTCCCCCCTCTGACTTGCTCAGCCTGTTCGTTTACAGAAGCCAGAGCTAGCAGCCCAGGGGTGGCCCCACCTATAATGGGCTGGGCCCTTCCACACCAATCACTAGTAAGTAAATGGCTTACAGCCAGATCTTATGGAGGCATTTTCTCAGTTGAGGCTCCCTCCTCTCTGATAAATGACTCTAGCTTGTGTAAGTTGACATAACATTAGCCAGTACACATCCCCTCCCTAAACAATGCTCTGAGACTCCAGAACCTTCTTGGTCTCAATTTATACATGAGAATAATCATGCCGTTTCCCTACTCCTTGGGGGCATCTTCTACATGGGAATTTTATCTGCTTTTTTTTTTTTTTTTTGAGACAGGGTTTCTCTGTAGCTTTAGAGCCTGTCCTGGAACTAGCTCTTGTAGACCAGGCTGGCCTTGAACTCACAGAGATCCACCTGCCTCTGCCTCCCGAGTGCTGGGATTAAGGCCTGTGCCACCACTGCCTGGCTCAGAGAAATTTTTTTATATTGCTTCTTAAAGATTTATTTTTAGTTGTGTAAGTACGGGTGTCCTCAGAGTCCAGAGATGTCAGAGGCTCCTGGTCCTGGAGTTAACAGATATTTAGCTGTGAGTCGCCTGACATGGGTTCTAGGGATCAAACCAGGTCTTTCACAGGAGTGGTACGCACTCTTAACTGCGGAGCCTGCCCTCTGGCCCCTCATTCTGTGTGTGTGCATGACGTTTCCCCTAAATATTTTTTAACCTTAATATTTATTTTATATGCTACAACCGTCTCTGCTGTTTACAGGCCTCTGGACTTCGTGGGAACTTTCAGCAACCGATGGTCCTACGGAGTTGCCTTTGGGGCCACAGCCAATAAGGTCATGTTCTTGTTCTCAGAAGGCTACCAGCCCCTGGAGGTTCCGCAGTGGGCCCAAGGTACCAGGCCTACCTCACACATCCTGGGAATGTCACCTGGACATACTTGCTCTCAGAGGCCAAGGGGACTGTCTAAAGGGATAAACTCTGTGAGAAGCCACATTCTTCTTGTCCTGTTGCTTACCCAAAGTCAATGTTTAGTAGCCCGCAACGCTTTCCAGCTTGCCTGGGGAGCTTCCCCCAGTTAGACTCAGAGGTGCTTTGGACAAAGATAACAAAGGCCCAGGGAGTAGCATCTTCCTTATCCAGTCCCCTAAGCCTGTTACCTTCTAATAGACACAGTTTCTGGGGCTTCTCCTCAAGGGAAGGATGCAAGTTTCTTTGGCCACTGGCCAGAGACCTCTCTCCCCGGGCTCCGTGCATCAGGTAAAGGAGGTCCTCTGACCCACAGGCATGGTGAGCTCTCATACAATTCCAGAACCGTCTCTGCATTGTATAAACTCCTGTGCACCTGCTGGAGCACAGTCAACACTGCTCCACTGTGGAGGAAGGCTGCTCCACTCTGCCTCCTGGGGCCGGGATGTCACTGGCTTCCTTGTCTGTGTACCTGTGGCAGGGTGACTGGGGCTCTGCTGCAGTTCACGTCACACCGCTCTCCTGCTGGTCTCTCCCACTATACTGTCAGCGTCTCAGAGCGAGAACACTGGCCGTTTCTGCTGTGCGGTGCCTGGCCCAGGAGTGTCTCAAAGCTGGCACGTAGTAAGGGTCATCTTGCATGACTAAGACTTTCCTAGGTGATGCCAGTCCATCTCAGCGCTAGCCGGTGGGAGCACTCCGTAGAGAGTGCTCTCTAGTATGCGTAGTTGGAGGACCACTGTGACCACCACCTTCCTCAGATGCTCTCCAATGCACACAGCACGCCTGTTGGGCCTCCATGATGCACTTGGGTGCCGTTCTCGCAGCGATTTTGGTTGCTTTCTGGTCTGTCTCTGCCTGCCATACTGTGAGCTGCTCACTTGTAAAGGCTCCAGTCTTTATTTCCATGGTCAGCTGGCACCAGCCATGGGCAGGGAAGCAAGAAGGGACTGTGGCTGGATGAAGGACATTGCTGCATTCCTCTCTTGTGGCCTAGCGCTCTTCCAGTCAGCTCTTTAGGTCATGAGGCCCCGACCACAGCTCTCCTGGCCGCCTCTGAGGAGTGAGCAGAAGAACCCACAGCATCTCGGCCTTGTCTCTTGCAGCCTTTGTCCTTCTCATTGGGGGCATGGAAGTCGGCCTGTCTTACTTTCCCTTCTTTGCCTGCCTGTCCTCAGATTTCCGGTTGGTCAGCTCCATCCTGGGCTTCAGCTACTCCCTGTTCTGGTAAGGCGACTTTGCTGACCTTTTTCTGGCCATTTTGGCCATGGCTGAACCCTAGACAGGGGGACAGAGATGACCTGGGGTTCCTCGTGAAGAACAACAAAACCCAGAATGGACAGAGGTGACTTGCCCTGTGTCCCATTGTTGCTTCTTCTTGGCGGTACTTCTGACACTTCCAAAGGTCTGTCCAGGACCTTGCGTGCATCCTAGGAGGATGTTCATGATTAGAATATTCCTGGAAGCAAGGGATTGGGGAAAATTCACTCCTAAAAACTGACGAGGGTCCTCAGAGAGGAGGTAAGAGCCGCATATCCGTGGCTTCTCCTAGAGAAAATTGTCATGTTTCTGCTTGACATTCAGGGCTTAGCCTCGCCTTCCTCCTTCTCCGGTCCCTAAGGATGTCCTGTCACACCTCCAGTCACTCAGTTTCCTACAGTCCATCACCTCTCCATTCATTCACTCAACAGTCATTCTTTATATTCCCCAGTGAGCCAGGGAGAGAGCAGGAAAGATCCTCACGGACTCTGGGCTCTGGTCCCCAGGCCTCTGGGCTTCTTCCCCTGTGTAGGGCATCTGCCTTCCACCTGGGACGATGCATGGGTCATGTTGAATATGACTTCAGCACTACATACGTATGCAGAGTTGGCACCAGGGAACTTCTGTCAACTGAGTGACCTGCCTTGGAACAGTTCCACTCCTGAGTCTCTGAGACTCTTCTCTGTTCCCATTTCCCCACCCACCCACCCACTCCTACATTCAGTCAGGAGACCTAAGACCTTGTCCTGGCTCTATGTGTCTGTAAGTGGCTTGGGTCAATCCCTTGCTGTCCCTGAACCTCTGCCTCCTTCAGTGCTAGAAGGCGAGAGGAGGAGCATCCTGGGTCTTTTTCCTTGGCCCACAATGACTCTGAGATGTGTCAGATGTGTGCAGGCCCAGCAGATATGGTGCTCAGCTAGGCACAAGCAGGTGCCCGGTCAGGAAAGGGCAGACACGGTCTTCTCAGGGGTAGCAGGCAGGACGTGAACTATGTTCACCAGACTGGTCTGGGTTGCGCTGGGATGGAAGCCAGCCCTAACCTGTTCCTGTCCTGCAGGTTTGTGGTTACCATTCTTCAGATCTCACAGTGTCCCCATGGCCAGGTAAGTCCCTGTTGACCTCACCTCAGGGTGTTCAGTCACCACCTTGGGGCCACCAGGCTCTGTGAGCTCAGACAAGCTCTCTTTGGGCTTCAGGATCCCCACCTCTGGGGGAGGGAAGAGGGCATTGCTCACCCAGCTTCTGTTTGTGTAGCACCTTCCTTCCTTCCTTCCTTCCTTTCTTCCTTCCTTCCTTCCTCTTTCTTCTTCTTCTTCTTCTTCTTCTTCTTCTTCTTCTTCTTCTTCTTCTTCTTCTTCT